TGAGCAGTGTATTTTTTTCTGGCAATATGGGGTGCCCAGATGTATTTACAGTATACTTATATCTTTAAATAAACTTGTGAAAAGACACAAAAAAGTCATGCTTACAATTATATTTTTGAAAGTATGACTGGTTTTCTATTAAGCCTCTGAACAGATTCCAAAAAAATTACTTCAAATAAGAAATGAAGGGGGTCAATTAAAGCTTWATCCATAAGAATTTCCATGTGGATTGAAAATGAGATATAACTGGTAAGAATGAACCATAAAAGAAAGCATCATGGGGAGAGCATAGRAAAAAAAGATTTTTTTATATAAGTGTGTGTTTATCAAAAAGAGCAATATCTTTCTTCATAGAAGGGGGAAAAAAAAGATAATATATAAACAAAGACTATAGAAAATGATTGATCTAGGATTCCTCCCTTTTTCCTTTCTTTTGGGGTTGCATGGTGATGAAAAGAGAGGATTAAAGTCAGCCCATTTAAATCCAAAAAAAATATTAGGATGTGATTAAAAACCAAGCACTTTATATCCCTTAAAGAGAATGTTTCCTCTTTGGCAGGCTTGCTGCAAAGGATTATCAGAAGAGAACAGAAGGAAATGAGAGGGGGGAAAAAGGAGAGTTCTAATTTTAGTTATATGTAGGTAGTAGTTTCCGTGGAATTCTCCACTTTTCCACTCCTCCTTCCATTGGAGACTCAGTGCAGTCATGAAGATGGGTCTATTTCTGATAAGGATTTTGGGGACAGAAGCTGCAAAGACTTTTTTGGGTGCAGAACACTTTGGAGTTACACCTATCATAATGGTGAGCGTTGATCTGGACAAAAAGTAAGTAGTGAAGGCAGGGGCATGGCAGGGGAGCTTTCTCAGGCAAAGAAATGTCTCTTTGTCACTACTTTCTTTATCCTCCGAAAAAAGGAAGGACAAAAAAGTTGAGGTTGGGTGATTTCTAAAGCYGAAATTTTCCCAGCTGCACAAATTGGCTAGAATTGACCAGTTCTTGTACTGAAAACTTCTTCCTAACTTGCTATCGTGGGACTTTAGGAATCCTATGGAACTGCTCCTTCATGTCTGGGCCAATGTGCAGAAATACTGGACAGCTGTGTGTGTTGGATGGAGTCATCACCTTGTGAAAAGGGAGATAACAGAGCACAGCTTTTGTGACATGGTGTATAATTTCATAGAATTTCCTGGATACAGTCACTTGAATTCCATGCAAGGAACCTGGCAGCAAAATGGAGATGTTTCATTCTTTTTTTTTTTTTTCTGCTTTTCTAACCGTTCCTGGAAGGGAAAGAAACTGCAAAGATCTGCCACGTTGCTATAAAGCAGCAGAAGGAGCTAGGATTAGAACAAACAGAAAAATATAAAATGCAGTATGGACTGTTCTGAAGAGATGTCTGCAGCTCTCAAATGGATCTCTGGATCCATTTGATGGATGGATCTCTTAAAAGAGAGATCTGTGCCAGAGATCCATGGCTTTATTTTGGATCAAGATGKGTATGTAGTTTTACTTGCATTTGCCTAGAAATCCCAAACAACCTTATTGCTGATSCCGGGTCTTCATAAAACCTGTCTCCTAAAGGACTTGTATGGTATGATGGCTTTGGTGTGAYTGTTGATAACTTCTTGAGGAAACTGGGAAGGCAATGAGGAAATAATGCTCAGGGACATTCGTGTCAGGGCAAAGAAAGCAAAGGACATACATTTCTTAGGTATATTTGACCAGGATCACTATCAGATGTTCATAAATTCCCACCACGCCACCATAAATTACTGCTACCATCTCCACTGATGCTATTCTAGGGGCTAACGTGAAGAAGTGAGAGTGAGTTGAAGATCAAGTAGATTAAAATGACTAGAACAGGAGGAGGATGGATGAGGGGATCTGTAAGCAGCCCTATAAACCTGTCTCAGAATGGAAAACCAGGTGAATCTAACTCTTCTCCACTGCTATTTAACAGCATTTGGTGGAGCTGTCCATGACTGATATTACTAGGACCTGAGCAACCATCAGACAACTGCTGTTGTGCTTCCAGCCTCCCTTCACCTGTAGGCAAGGCCAATGTTTTTCACTAGGAAAGTAGCMGTACTCATGAACCTTTGGCTCCTATCTGACTTGGAAAACACTTTTTTGTTATRGAATCCCATGGAAATTTCATGTCCATTCAGTGAAGTGGAGCTGTACACTTACAAATGTTGCACAGAATGCAGAGATCCCAAAAAAGATTTTTTTTTTTGTGTGCAGAATGATTCCTTTGCTCTTTAATCAGCTTGTTAACTGAGATGGGATGCAATCCTGGTAGGAAGGGTTGCTACTTARACTGAAAACATGCTGGCAAACCATAGGAAAATGCTGCAGAATCTGTAAAATAAATAACCAACTTAGGTTTTTTTCAGATACTGGACTGAAATACATTGGCATAATTGAGCCCTGCTGGCAGAAATCTGCCAATACTGTTTAGGAACTCAAGGATGGCTCAAGATGGCTTTGTTTTGCCTACTAAGTCATTTTCTGAAATGCCAAATATGACATTTTATTTTTTAAATTTGGCAGTCAGATTGGAGAATATCTATCCCTTCTATCTGAGAAGGTGTTCAGCGCTGTAATCCAGAGTAAGGGACCAAGGATCCTGCAGGGTAAATAAGGCATTTTACTAGGTCTGACTAGCACCCAACACGGTCTGCAATTACCTGTAACTGTTCCTTTGAAGTGTGCTGGATAAGGGCAGCTTCCTAAAACAGGGGCTGTGTGCCCCAGAGGAGCTACTGCCAGCAGGCAAACACTRCAGGGAGGGCACTCCTTGTCTGCTGGGCTTTAATGTTTGGGACAGATGATGAGGAACAGCCAGCCTGTTTGGAAGGTCTTTTGCAGATCCTTCGGTAGAGGTAAAATTCACAGCCGGCGAGTTGGGAATATCCCAATAGTATGTGTGTGTTACGATAACTAGTTTAAAATCCAAAGTGAAACATCTGGCTTGTCCCGTGGCAGAGCGTAGCTCAAGTGTAACCACTGAAAACCATGTAAATGAWAAATGTTGGGGTGACAGGGTGTACAAGGATGCAGAAAGATGGATTAAACGGGATTTGTTCTCTGGTACTGCATCAATGTAAGGAAATGGCAAACAATGTAGGAGTATAACCTTATATCTTTTGATATTTTCTTTTTCAGTTTGATGTKCCAAATATACATTTTCATTTCTTGTAAGAAAAGAAAGTTCTAGGTCAATTTTGTGGCCTAGGAATTTCTGTTGCTTTGAAAATCACTGGCTGTTTTTTTCCCTAATAACAGAGGCTTGTTCCCAGAAGTGAAGTGTCATTTTTTTCTGTTGTTGTTGTTGTTTTCTTTTTTTTTCCCTCCCCTCTAATTGCAAGCACCAAAAAAAAAAAAAAAAAATATAGTAGGACACTGACAACAGAATAAATAGCTGATCTGGTAGAGTGTGTTTGAGCCGCAGCCAGGAATATCATCAGCAGATAACTCTCTCCTTTGGGAAATGGTTCTTTCTCTTGGCTTTGTACTCCCATTGTAAGCTACTTGCAAATAAAAGATTTCATTTCTTCTTTTCTGTGTTTTAAATCAAACCTTAATTTTTATAGTGTTTTCTCATCAARCTCCAACGAAGTGCAATAAGAAAGAGTGGTCTGGTAGGTTATGACTCTTTTGAGAATAGGAGAGAGTAATGTTATTTGTGAATTATAGATTGGTTTTGCTTTTTCTTTTATCAGTATAAATCTAGGAATAAGTGTCATGAATTTATTAGGCTTAGATCACACTCAGTGAGACTGATACTGTAGCTTAGGTTTGCAAGATGGTTGTATCAAAGGCAACATGGAGATAATGGTCTGAAATTCAGTGTCTGCATCACCTCCAGGGTACAGAGACCTGCTGTTGCTTAAATGTATTATCAGCATATTAATTATGCAGCTAATCAAAACGAATGCCTGCAGTTATTGTTGCTAAAGGTTTCATCTGGTGGTCAGGAGCAGAGGAAATACTGGCTAAATAAAAGTGGGCTCCGAACTGYTGGAGCCTGATGTTCACCATGCACTAAAGGAAGTTTTAACAGCTGTGCAGGGAACCAAAGGTCCTTCCAGTTTTACTTCCCTGGAGTTGCTGTGGTGACTGGARTATGAGAAGGAGCAATAGGGACTGCCAGAAAGTGAAGGATGATCTAAGTAAGAAGCATAGTGCTAAGGTCAGCCGAGTTGTGGTCTAGTGCTAAGCATTGGTTGAATCAGCAAGTTCATCAGATGTTGAACTAATGACATRTCTTTGTTACTGATTCTTCTCTCAGGTTAAAATATTTGGTGGATTAAAGTTGGTCACATGTGTCTTGTTGAGTTTCGGAACCTAGATGAATCAGTTGGATGTCAGAGTGTTGATTCTTGTGGAAAGAAGGAAAAAAAGTGGTAATTTTAGTGGTACTTCTAAGAATAGAATGTGGCAGATGTTRAAGTTGCATTTCTGATCTGAGAGAAGGCCAAAGCTGCTTTTCTGTCTGAAATTGCTGTTTTTGTAGTCACATTCACTTGTCATAACTTAAGGCTTTGGAATTTAAAAAAAAAAAAAAAAAAAGATAAATCATGTTAGTAAGTGTCAAAAAAACTCTTAAWTTTAATTTAAAATTTAAACTGGCTTCTTCCTGCTGAGGAAGTCATTCCAAGGGCTTGGGGGCTGTCACTTGGTAGGTGGCTTTATGTGACTATTCCAACTCCACGGTTCCTGTGAAACAGGCAAACTAGTCACCAGGTTTATAGGAAATGTGGAGTACTGTAATCCCTCGCCTCAAGAAGAGAGGGGAAAAAGAATCAATCTGAAAGTGGTGTGGGTGTTTGTTTATACTTCTTAACAGAAAATCGAGGGGGGGGGAGACAAAGTGGAATATGTTTCTTCAGATGTTTAAGAAAGTCATGTTTTGTACTTACCAGAATAATACTATGATCTACATTTTTAATCAGTTTATATATATCAATATAATTATTATCATTCTCTTTTTTAGGTGATCCTGATCCTTACCAAGTATTATCACACCGACATGGGAAAAGTGTTGGAGAGCTCTTTGTGGAGGTAGGCTCTCTGGTTTTCTTACTTGCCACTCTTTTTACGTCCTTGTTGTCTGAAGGGATCTGTTTCTTTTCCCTTTGGAGGCTGCTGCTGAGCTGCTGGCTGATAGATGCTCGTGTAGCGAGGTTGGCCTGAGTCTCATCAGTTCTTACTCCTTGCTTAAATAAGCAGCAGTTGAATAAGAAAGAACCTGAGATTGAATGGTTTATGCTGTAGAAAAACACAGTGATAGAGCGTAAGGTACCTTTCTGATTCCATGTCACAGGATGCTGTTCCCTTTCTTTGACTTAGAAATTTTGCATTGGAAGTTACTTAAAGACTTTGAAATATTAACTGTGTTGGGCTATGTCTATGGGGAGTTTTTGCTGCTGTTGTGTTATATATGGAGGCAAGTAAATAATCTTGATCTGAAAGGAGTCATGATTTCCTGGATGAAATATAATACCAGTGCAGGTTATGTTGTGTCTCATAACTGGGAACATGCAGTAATTCAAATCAGATTTTGAAATTGTTATTCATTTCCTCAAGATTCATGAATAAGGATATCAATATGCTGTTGCTTATACATATACAAATTACATGCTTAGATATCTATCAGCACGGAACCGGAGCTAATGGAAGCCTGTGTTGCTCTGCTTCAKTGTTGTGGATCAGGATCAATATTTTCTCATCACGTTCTTTTTCTTCAACAAACACACATATTTTGAGCTTGTCAATAGGAGAATTATTGCTATAATTATTATCTGCTGTCAGCTTGTTGAGATGTGTTTTTCAAGGTAAATGGTTAACAGATGCCTAGTTTGTAAAGATGCGTGCGCCTGAGTACATACAGAATTATACATGTGAAGTTGTGTTTTTTTTAACTTTTTACTTAAGTGCTTCAGTATTGAATGGCARTTTCCAAATCAGATACTTGTCTTTTGATGTGTTCATTTTGGTTTGCTAGCTAGGCTTTGCGTGTTCTAATTTTCTGTATATCTACGTAAATCTTCCTCCACAAACTTTTGCTAGACCTCATATACAGACTTTAAAAGTGCAAGTATTTTGTGAATCTCACTAAATGTACTATTGTTCTGATGTTTGCTATGTCAGTTTTACTGGGTTATCTGTAAGAGTAAAAATAGTCTTGAAATGTTCTGCCTTTGCATTTAAGTAGTCAATGCAGAGACTTATTTGATGTCTGTCTGAATGTATTAGGTAGCCCGTAAGCTCTGAATCTGTATTAAAGAAAAAAAAAAAGTTATGAGATCTTGTGGCCTAGATAGTTCTGAACTCCATAAGCAAAGAAATTCTGTGTTGTCTTAATCATGTTGGGTTCTGTGTAGCAGCAGCGTGCAGTGCCTGTAGGGCACTACAGCCTAGCCACGTAGAGCTCTCTGCAGCACAAGGTATTTGCAAACAAATGAAAACTTCCAGTCATTTAAAAAAAAAATGGTTGTGTGGGAGACAGTCCGACATCAAATGCAGAGTGCTCAGGATTGCCTCAGGATTGGCATGTAAGGCTATGACAGTTCATTTGTAATTAGCCTTTAAATATACAGGATGGGAAAATAATTGCACATTTGTTTCTGCTTTAAGTTTTGTCCAACATCTTGTGTGAAGAAGACAACCCCAAAGAAATGYAGATACTCTCACCATTGCGTAAGCACAATCGCCTTCCTGTTATATACCCTGGCCTATACAACATATGCAATGTGTTAGAAGTTTTGCTAACCACACTTCTCTATAATCCCCCACTGAAGTCTTTTAAGCTTATGCAGTTGGACCCTGCTCTTTCAAAATAAACGTAAGACAGGCTTCAGATAATGTTGCTTTCTTTTGAGAACATAAACACTTTAAACAAGGTCCTTCAGAGCTTGCTGACAGCYGGTGTAACTAAATCCAGTGTGAACTGTGTTGGAATAAAACTGGTGCTAGAGTGTGTGCACAGGAGAGTAAGGACCTTCTGCTCCTAGGTAAGGGGTTCACCAGGYGCTTGGAGGAGAAAAAGCAAACCAAAAAATGAATGTTTAAGACGAATACTTGGACGGAGAGTTGTTCTTCCTCCATCYCTAGGTATTTTCTGCTTCCTCATTTTTCTCCGTTCCTGTTTAAAAGCTGCACATGCAGTTGTCAAATTGACAGGGCTCTCTGTGGTGCTTTGAAGGGTTGGTGGTGGGCAAGTAGGGCTATGGCACAGGTCTGGTGAAATAACTGGGTGTCATTTGGTGAAGCTTGGTGTTTGTTATGTTATGGAGCTGTGTTGTTTTACTTGCACTGGCAGTAAAATGACCCAGAATGTGCAGTGCATATTGTATTTTTTCCTAACTTTTTGTGTGTCTCTTGCACTCCTCTCATTTGCATCCAAACAAATATACAGTAAAACAAATGGAAAAAATATTATAGGGGAGTTTGCCAGTAGATGAAAGCCATTAATCACTGTGAGGTGCCTGTGCCCTGATAGAAATGGATGCTATCCTGTGGCTTCCTGAATATCCAGTGTTTTCCTCTCTTGCATGYTCTCTACATGAGCATAAACATATGTTATAACCCAGTCTACCCCCACCAGGTTAATTTTTTGATGTTGCTGTTTTCCTGTTTTTTTTCTTGCCAATCAGGAAGTGTTATCACAGCTTGGCATTTATTTATTTATAAGTCTTTATTTCTTGAAGAAAAAAAAACTTGTCTTTCATTTCTTCCTCCAAAACATGTTTACTCTTTGTGTGTATGTATGTTTTTTTTCTTTTTTTTTCTTTTTTTTCCTTCCTAATCACTGAAATTACTTATTTACCTATTTTTTTTTCTGCCTTTACTGGCTTAGTGTAGCAGGGAGCGAGAAGGGAGAGGTATAGAAACCTGCCCATGTGTGTCAGGATACAGGGTTGGAAAAGGTTGGTTTAAATCCCTTGGAGTCCTACAAGTACCTAATAAAAAATGAAAACAGTGTGAGACTGTGACCATGTTAGCAGCCTTTGACTAGTAGAAGTCATTTCTGGTCATGCTCAAGAGYTGGAGGCTCAAGCTGAGGTGTGCAAGTAAAAAACACCAGTGTTTGCATAGAGAGCTGCTCTTGAGGCTTTGCTCATGCAGCACTAACAAGTTAATTTAGTTGTTAAAGTAGGGGTAAATTGCATGGTTATCTGATTCAAAGTAGGGAAATAAGCAGAGGTCGTGTTGCTTTTGTGTTGAATATAAGTCAAAATAAGGAACTTAGTGAATAGACATAAAGGAGTGTTTTTCAGATGTATTGTGAAAGTTTGTAAAGTACGGTATGTCTGGGGTCAGCATGGTTGTCACACTAAGCCTCATTAGCTTAATGACAAAAACTATTATTAGAGACTAAAATTGCAAAATTGCGTACTAGTATTATCTTCCCAAGTTGTGCCTGCAGTGAAATTTCGTGCACTGATATTCATATCATCCATCTTTATGCAGCACATTTAGGGGTGCAGAAGCTGAATCAGAGAGCACTTAGGCAAACAGATACTGGAGTGTCTCTCTGCATACATCTTATGGACCAGTTTGTGCATAAATATATAGCTGCATGTGTTTTAGAGCCTCAGCTGCCTGCGTGCATGCATTGTATGAATGCAGCTTTAGATAAATGAATTTGAACCTTAGAATCAAATATTCTAGCTCTGAATTGGGAGCTGCCAAGAAATTAATACTACTACTTAGCTGCACACCTGTGCTAATTAATCATAATATAAGTCTTGGAAATAAATATTACCATTTTATAAATGGAGTAATTGAGATGTTAAATGATTGCTGAAGGTTATCAAGTGACCCAGTACTGTGTGGCCACGGAAATGGCTTCCTGCCCTGTGCTCGCAGTTGCTGAGAATCCTGTTTCTGACACGAATGCAGCCTTTCCCTCCTTAACTTGATCTAGACGATGAATAATAAATGCTGCTGATGACTGCTAATAAAGTTTTGATTGCATGTTATCTAGCCCTAATGATAGGGTAGTGCTAATGCCACTTGCTGTGTAATTGCCATTGTTCCTGATGGTGTCATTGTGTTGCTGTGGCTTTGCCACAGCAAAACAAGCTGCCKTGGTTCATGTTGACTCCTGGATAAGCCAGCTGCTCACTTTGGGGGAAAAGCTGCTTGTATTTGCACCCACAGAAGGGCCCTTTTTGTGGACAAGGCTCAGCTGTACCAGCCCCTTGACCACCAGCGATGGTCAACGCACAGTGACTGCAATGGTGCTTTGGCCCTTGGCAGGACAGACTGTGCACAGGGAGGTTTTAGGGTAAAAGAATGTGCAGTGAACAAAATAATGCTTAGGAAAGAAGACTTCCAAACTGTGCCTGCCCTACATGGCTCACAGCAAGTGAAAGACAGTATGGACATTTGCTTCTGAACTACTTGGGGCGTATGGGTGAAAGCCAACTCCTGAAAATTAATTTAAAAAGCAAAACAAAAAAACTAATATAGTCTGGTGCCCTGGTGAAATCCTTTCTCCCTGTGAAGTGCTGCCTACTAAGTGAGCAACTGTATTCTGCAGCATCCTGTTCTTCCAGATGGTCTTGCATTGTGGTTCTGCTTTGAAAAGTGACTTTGTAGAAATGCCCCCAAGGGATTAAGCTATTGAATCTGTGATTTCCATATCAAGTTTGTTCTTTTTCCAAGTAAAAATTAAAAAAAAAAAAAAAAAAAGTGTCTTTCTAATTAGTAGCCCAGCAAACTCAGCTTGAGATCTAGTGTCTGGCTGTGCTTTCTCTGGCTGATGCATCATTCCCAGGAATACAGATTCTGCAATCAAAACACTGTCCACCTGTGTGATGCTTTTGTCCTTCTATTATGGCCTTGTTTATACCTGTTCCACTGTGAAATGGGTTTGGGCACCAGAGATGAAAATGCAGTCCTACAGTGAGAATGTTATTATTGAATACCAGATTTTTTATGACTTCTTTGGTAGTATTTCCATATTCACCTAATAGCATTAAAAASACTGTCATTATCTTTGCTGCAATTTCTGTCTTGCTAATATTCTACAGTGTGTCATTTATGTATCAAAT